GATGTTTAATAGTACTTGATGTAAAGGCTAAATGAATTGAATATACACATTTTGACATATTTGATAAACAAATTCTAATTTTATGAAAAAGTAATTTTTTTCCCTCTCTTTCTACATAAGGAAATTTATAATCCCAGTGTCATTACTCTTATTTTGGCCAGTCACAGCACTTGCAACTGGCGTTGTAGACAGTGCCAGCACCACACCTATTGACGTGAGTGGTGCCTGCGGCGCACGAGTAGAAGCTGTTGTTATCATCGGGGTTGGCGTAGAGGCCGTCAGGTTTACCATTGCAGAAGCCCGATCCTGGGGCATGGGTGGTGGTGGTGGTGGTGGAGGGTGGTGGTGGGGGTGGTGGTGATATTGGGGTCACGAGTGGTGGTGGGGGGGATTGGTATTTCTGCATTAGACAAAGAAGAGGTGTGATTATATAAAGATGAAAACTATAAACTCAATTTAGTTATTAATAAGCGCAGTCTGACTTTTCTGAATTTGCCAAAGATTTTGTTTTAAGCAACTTGTAAGGGCTTTTTTTTTCTCTTTGAGCACCTTGTTTTGACAAAGTATGACTCATGCTGCTGATACTTACTCAAATGAATATATAGTTTCAATATTAGTTTTAGCATTGATTAATATCTCATTTTTAATACTTTTGACAAACACTTGTCAGATTTTGTGTATTTAGGGCTACTTTTATATCTTACCAAGAAGGTCGCGAAGATGAGAGATCAGAGGGTGGGCGCCCTGTCCACAGAAACGTCCTGCAAAGTCATCCAGATCTAAAGACCACACAAAAGCCCCTCCAAACCTTTGCTCTTTCAGATAGCGCACCTGTACAGAGAGGCTAACTTTACTCAAATGGTCCAGAAGATACCCTAGATTAAAAAAAAACAAAACACAAAAACTAAACATCTCCGTACCTTAATGTCATAGCTCTCCCTGGTGTCAAATCCAACCCACTCATTGTTTTTGTAGGCATATGGTACCAGTTGGTCTTCAATCCAATGGATCTCTGTGCCTTGCAGAAAAGTGCAGATCTAGAGCACAAATGATAAGAAAAAGAGACAGCAAATTAGTGAATTTTTGGTAGTAGTTGTCCCATTAGATATGCATCATTAAGGCACATAAAAAATGTCCTGCTTATTGTTTTGTTATTTTACTGGATACTCATGGCTAGTTACTGCATACCTCATAGTAGGACCAGAATCCAGCCTCACGGGTGTATGATCCAGCTGAAGCAGCACCACTGACTGGAGCTCCTACACTGGTGTCAGAGGAGGTCAAGCGGAAAGTACGACCATAAGCGGCAAAGCCCATCCTCAGCTTCTCCACTGGAGTGCCATTGTCTCTCCAGTATTTCATGGCAAAGTCCTATAAAAATATAAACCTTGTTAAAAAGCTAATACAGAACAAGAGAAAACAATAATAAGAAGTATTTTATAGTTTCTTACAGTGTTGAAGTAAATGAGGTCCCCTTCGTCCTTAGAACCACGGTACAGTGGACTGTTGTGTCCAGTGAAAGAGTCCCATGTTCCATGGAAATCATAGGTCATCACATTGATGAAATCTAGCTCTCTACAGGAAGACAAAATGACTTAATTAAAAAAAAAAAAAAGATATTTTGCAAGTTGCAAGCTACCCTACTTACTTTGCGATCTCAGCGATCTCATATCCACTATCAATGGTTCCCTTTCCAGCTGCCACTGCAGCAGTTAACAAGAGCTGAGTTCGACCTGTTTCCCTGGCCTCTGCTTCATAGGCTTGTACAAGTTCCTGCACAAATTAAAAATATAAAACCATTGTCCTGAAAGTCTCATATCAAAACTGCTATTGTTGAGTGTAGTCAAGTGAACTGACCCTGCACAGCAGAGTGAACCTCTGCTTATCTTCTGGGGGGCTTCCACGTGCTCCTGGGTACTCCCAGTCCAGGTCCAGACCATCAAAGCCATGGGTCCTCAGGAATTTGATAGTAGACTGGATGAACTTCTGACGGTTGGCTTGAGTGGACACCATGATGGCGAACCTGTAAGGACGTGGACTTTGTTATGATCCTTTGCACAGCCAGTTTAAGTTCAATTACTTATTTATTTTTTTCTTTGCTGGATGAGAGAATATCTTCAAATCTAAATATCTGGTGTTCAATAACTATATTAGAGATTATGCACCTTACTGAACCAACAGTATGTTTGGGAGCATTACAGGCTTTTATTACACTCTAGGCTTTTTTTATTTTTTATTTTTTTTTTGCAATAACGATATACAATTATACTCACTGTGAAGAGCCGAAATTCCATCCACCAACAGCCAACAGAGTCTTGAGATGAGGATTCCTATGTGGTATATTTGAAAGACAATTAGTTAAAGTGTTGTTTTTTTAAGTACATTTATGATACTTGGTATTGTGCTTTTACAAAACGCCAGAACAGCCCCCCTTACTTATTCTTGAGGGCATTGAAGGCCTTATAGAGCACATCGTCATTCCACTCGTAGGTTACCAGCTCGTTGGCATAGTTGATGACGGAGAAGGCATAGATCAAGTGGGTGCAGAGGAAGGGATCCACGTTTTGGGGCAGGAACTTCCCTTCACCGGGCCTGTACTGGGACCAGTTGGTGAAATAGCACACCATGTCAGTGGCAGAGCCTGACAGGACATAAAGGAGATTCATTCAGAAAACCACAAATCAAGCTAGAGAACTGACTACAAATGTGTCTCAGTGTACTTACCAAGCTGACATAGCACCAGGCATAAGCCTACAAGGGGAGAAATAACAGTTTGGTGAAACATAATCTGAGCTATCACATCCATTTTCTTCCGCTTATCCAGGGCCGCGTCACGGGGGCAGCAGCCTAAGCAGGGACTCCCAGACTTCCTTCACCCCAGACACGTCCTCCATCTCCTCCGGGGGGACCCCGAGGTGTTCCCAGGCCAGCCGAGAGACATAGTCCCTCCAGCGTGTCCTGGGTCTTCCTCGAGGCTTCCTCCCGGCGGGAAATGCCCGGAACATGTCCAGGAGGCATCTGGAACAGATGCCCGAGCCACCTCAACTGGCTCCTCTTGACGTGGCGGAGCAGCGGCTCTACTCCGAGCTTCTTTCGGGTGACTGAGCTCCTCACCCTATCTCTAAGGGAGCGCCCAGCCACCCTGCGAAGGAAACTCATTTCAAGCACTTGTATCCGCGATCTCGTTCTTTCGGTCATTACCCAGAGCTCATGACCATAGGTGAGAGTAGGAACGAAGACTGACCGGTAAATCGAGAGCTTCGCCTTTCGGCTCAGCTCCCTCTTCACCACAACGGTCCGATACAGCGACCGCATTACTGCAGATGCTGCACCGATCCGCCTGTCAATCTCACGTTCCGTCCTCCCATCACTCATGAACGAGACCCCGAGATACTTGAACTCTTCCACTTGACGCACTTTTTTTTTTTACACATTTTGATAAATCACAATTTAAATAAAATGAAATAATCTTTCAGCACACTTTCTGATCAGTACATTTCACAAAAAAACATGTGAAATGTCTTCTTTCAACTGAACTCTGCTCCAAGCCATATGCTGGCAGACGATTGGCTGTAGACCTCTCCATTAAACGATCCAAGCTGATCACTGACTATTACATATTAATGATTTGATTAATTGCCCCGCTCTACTGAAACAGAATTCAGAGTAACACCAGAAGAAGCCAATGACACATGTACCACAGCATTGAGAACCTCACCTAACTTATTATTACCTGCAAGTAGTGTAAGCTTTGTCATCTTCAGCCAACTTGGGGGATTACTGTAACATAAGAATTGGGTTAAATGAATACAAGAGCATTGGCAAACAAGCAACATACAGGTACCCATCTGTCCTCACCTTGCCAAATAGAGAAAAACCCAAACCACAGCAAGATTCTGACATATTTTATACAGAAGCTCAGAGGAGGAGCATAATTGTCTTAACCATATGTAGACAATCATTAACTAGCTTCAATTGTCACTTCGTGACTACATAGCATCAGTGTAATGTGGGCCAGCAGCCATATCAGAACAGCAATGTGCTTTACAGGTCAAATTACACAAATGAGTTTCAGTTGGCAAACAAAACTGTAAAATGTTGCATGGCACAAAGGTCTTATGAACAAGAAATGTCAATAGACAAACAATATTGAGCATTCTAGCATACATAGTCTAAAATAAACTGAACTGTTATTGGCAGAACAAAATTTAGACTTTTGTAGTTTCATAAACATATAAAGTAATACACTGGACAAAAATAACTGCTTAAAAAATAAATGTAGGCAGCAAGTGACATTTATACTACATTAAATTGAATGAGATTAAATTATTCAAATAAAAATCATTTGTACCATTATTTGTACCAACCAAATCTATGGGAAACACTGAATATGATGTATGGCTATAACTAGAGGAGTAGTTGTTATGCATAGGCCAGCGTTTATTGTAGTGTAACTAGTGTGAAATGTTGAACAGCATGAAAAGAGTAAAATAATTAACAATTTCAATAATGGTAAAAATTTAACCTAGCATCAGACAAGTTAATGTATTTTCTTCATTATAAAGAACAGATATTTCACGTTTTGTAAATTTGTACAGTGTTTTGAATTCAGACGCTAAGTACAACTGTAATTCATAACCTAAACATTCTTTCATTTTAAAGTTTTCATTATTTTGTGTGTGTCTTTCATGAGTTTTAAATGCTCAAAATTTAAAAGATAAGAATCATCTTGGAAATAAATGATCAGATAACTGTAGCGTGCCCCATGCACTGTGTAAATCCCACATTGTTGCTTTTATTACAGATAAGACATGTCCATGTCTGACATCTTTTTCAATAGTTCCAATATCAATGTGAATGATTCAGTAGATTAGATATCATAACAACAGACATAAACAGTTTATGCAATGTGACAGGTTTTAATGAACTCTACTCTAGTCCTGGCCTGGAACACTGGCCACATCTAGCCACTATCAAGATGTTCTGCCATCTGACTGTGATCATGATAACTTCAACACAATCAAAGCATAAAAGCTGTTACATTATTTTATGTTAACATCTTACAAACCCAAGGTGGAGGAAATGGCAGGATTTGGCTGGATTTCAAAACTGTGATGCAACATTTATTACAGGACATTAATTTGTCACATTGAATCATATTCTCATATTAAATTCCCATATTTGCTTGTTTCTATGGATTTCATTGCTCTACCTGGAATCTTTTACAGTATGACATTTACCAGCTCTAGCTTATACATTTATTAAATCACAGGTGGTTGTATAGCACAGAAATACCAAGAAAAGCAGGCATCCTGATTCCTGACTGTGAGTGGGATTGCGTCTCCACAGATCTGACCTGTATCTTGGTCTTGATCTGCTTTCCTTGTCCACAGAACTCTCCATTAAAGTCGTCCAAATCCAAAGCCCAAACGAATACACCTCCAAATCCATTGTTCTTCATATACTGGACCTGTGGATTAATTTAAAAGGTGTATTTCTACTGTCATACAATTGACTGAATGCATGTTTATTACTGCAATTGGTTTTATTTGTAATAGTGATCTACTGTGGGCCAGACATAAGATTTTAGATTGACTATAATTCCAGACTGATGTATTTACAATATGAGTTGTAGAGGGTTGAATAAATAACTTCTATGACTCATTAAAGATACAAACTAACTTCTACAGTGTTTCATTCTGCTATTTTATTTATTGCAATTTATGTTTTTAGAATATTTCGGGGGGGATAATCCTGCTTTAAGGTTGTTGTGTTACTGTGTTTTTATCATATCATCTATATTTTCTTTAGCAATATATCATTTCAAATTTTCATATCGTGACAAGTCAACATGCATAGTGAGATTCCACATACCTTAATCTCATAGCTTTCTTTGGTGTCAAATCCCACCCATTCATTGTTTTTGCTGGCATAGGGAACTTTCTGGTCACTAATCCACTGGATTGTGGTTCCCTCTAAAAATGTGCAGATCTAGAAGAGGAAAAATATAAAAAATACCTCTTTATTAGTCATTGACATTGTCTTTTTTTTTAATTGATTTTAATATTATACAAAAACAAGGGAAACAAAAATTAAACAAAAAAATATATATAACCCTGTCCACTCTCTATACCCCAAAGTCTAATCCCGCCAAAATGTTCTGGGGGCTGCAGTCTTACCTCATAGTAGGACCAGAATCCTGCTTCCCGAGTGTATATTCCAGCAGAGGCCGCTCCGCTTGCTGGAGCTCCTACACCAGTGTTGGAAGAGGTCAGGCGGAAAGTGCGGCCATAAGACGCAAAGCCCATCATCAGTTTTTCTGCTGGGCTCCCCTGGTCTCTCCAGTATTTCATGGCAAAATCAAAAAACAAAAACAAAACAAAATAAATCATGATTCATGACATAATCCAAGCATTAACAATTTATTGGGTTTTCCTCATTGCCCTTAGAACTATAATGTATCTGTTGCTTACTGTATTGAAGTAAATGAGATCACCGCTGTCATGTGAGCCACGGTACAGTGGACTGTTGTGTCCAGTGAATCGCTCCCAAGCTCCATGGAAATGAAGTCCAAGTATCTGAAAACACATGGCGTTTAGACTCAAATTTGGACTGGACATATTTTGAGATAAACATTTCAGTACTTTGCGATCTCAGCGATCTCATATCCGGCATCAATGGTTCCCTTTCCAGCAGACACTGCAGCAGTTAGCATGAGCTGAGGTCTGCCTGAAGTCTCAGCCTCTGCTGCATAGGCTGCTACAAGTTCCTGCAAACAAACAGTCAATAAATATGTTGTAAAAATGTGATAAGCAGAACATAAATGTATACTCTATGGTGGACAGACCTTGCGCAGCAGACTGAACCTCTGTTTGTCAATTGGGGGACTTCCACGGGATCCTGGGTATTCCCAATCCAGGTCCAGACCATCAAAAAGCACATCTGAGGAGCTCAAAAGGAGTAGGCAGAAGTTAAAAATTTAGTACTTAGTTGCTATGTATGCTATGTTTGCAGAATTTAATTATAATTTAGAATATATTGAAATATTCATATATGTAGGTAAGTCATATAATATAAGTGAACAACAACTCACAGAGTAGTTAAACAAGATTGTGCCTTTAAAATAATAGCAATTTTCTTAACCACAATTGCATGAAACTAAGAAGCTATACACATATTGCAGAAGAAACAAACTGAAGACAAGCAATGAGTTCACATAACCAAGATGATAAAAATATTATACTATAACAAGTTTTTTAATAAAATACATTAAACATGTAAATGATTACATATAATTATTACAAATTAGGCTATGCCAGTGGTGGAAATTAAGAAGCAAAAGAAGTAAAGTACTGCACTTATGTATACATTTTATGTATATGTACTTTACTTAACTAGATTTTACAGAGAATACTTTTTACTTTTTCATTTGAGAGCAGGTATCTGTACTTTCTATTCCACTAGACCTGCTGAAAAGACTGAGGTTTTTTGTTTTGTTTTTTAGTACATTTGTGGTCTGAGTAAACAAAAATGTACAAATAACACAAATTAATAAAACAAAATTTTACTCTTTAAGTAGATTTAGTAGAATTTTTCATGTGATGAAAAATTTAATTGAGTGTTTTATTTTCTTGCGTCTGTATTTGTACTTTTAATTAACCACATGTGTGCACAGGAAAGGGTCTATGTCCTCCACCATAAACTTGCCTAATCCCGTCGTGTACAGGGACCATTTGGAAAAGAGGCACACCAGTTTGAATGTAGTTGCTGGAAAAAGAAAACAATCAGTCTGATGACTTAAACTTACTAAAAATGAAATAAAAAGTACTCTGACTAAAACTCTGACCAAATTTACAAACTTTTCTGTGAACTAAAATTTATATTTTTCTTGAGTAAAAAGAATTGGTATTTTTTGTTGAATAATAAAAACTAAAACATACACAAATGAAAGGAAGGTGTGGAAACTTGATTCAAGTTCCACTTTGAATCTCAGAGCCACGAACAACAGCGTAAAACAAACTCAACATCCAAGGAACATGTCTTTACATGCACCATGAAGAAATTAAGAAAAATATATTTTGTTGTTGATTAAATCTTAAATGCATAAGGTGACTAAATGAACACTTAAGCAGACTTGAGGTCCCGATATAAAACTAAAACTTACTGGAGTGGATGAACAGCAGAGCAGCGAGCAGGCTCCAGTAGCCAGCTAAGAATGGAGTTCGAATGGCTGAAAGTCTCATTACTTCCTTTAAGTCTATGAAATTGCATTTTGCTTTATTAGACTTGTAATGTTATTGTATTATTGAAGTCTGAGCCTAAAAGCAGTGGGGAATAGAATAAACAACACAGGGATGAGTTTGTAAGTAGTGACACTTATTTATTTGTTTGATAAAGAAACATGCCCAATTGAACATGGTGTAAAGTGTAATTAAAAGCAGTACCTTATTTAATGTGGAATCTATATAATACAGTGGTAGGATTATTTTATTTATAAGTAACTAATTATGAGAAATAGGTTCTTCTAAATGCCTTTTTCTGAAATGTTGACCTAGGCCTGGCACTATAATAAGCATTTCTTTTAAGCATGATATAT